GATGGGGTACCTTCGTTTATGTCAAGGGGTAGGGACTGAACAATTTAAAGCCACCATGTTAGCTCAAGCTATTACAGAAATCACAAAAGGAAAAAATAAGTTTCCTGGCACTTGCTATAATTGTGGAAAGCCTGGACATACAAAAAGGGAATGCAGAAAGAAAAATAAAAATGTCTTAAATGTGCCCAATGATTCTGTTCCTGCAGAATCTAAGCCACCAGAAATATGCCCCCGATGCCAAAAAGGGAGACACTGGGCATCTGAATGTAGATCAGTTTTTCATAAGGACGGAACTCCCCTTCAGGGAAACGGGAAGTGGGACCAGCCCCAGGCCCTGACAACAACAGGGAGTATATGTAGCATCAGCTGTTCCTCAGAATTACCAGACAGTACCTCCCCCAAACTTTCAGTACAGCAATTAAGTTCAGCAACAGAAGGGAGTGCAGCAGTGAATGTCTGCACCACTCAGGACATTTTACTGCTTCCAGGAAAAACACCTCTCCCTGTACCCACGGGAATTTTTTGGGCCAATTCCCCCAAATACTGTTGGACTTCTCCTTGGTAGATCCAGTTTAACCTCCAAGGGAGTGACGGTCCATACAGGTATTATTGATTCGGATTATGAGGGAGAAATTCAAATTATCATGTCTTCAACAGTTCCCTGGTCTGCTAAAAAGGGAGAAAGGATTGCACAATTACTTTTACTTCCCTATGTTCTTCCAGGAAACAAGGGAACCCAAAAAAGGGGAACTGAAAGCTTTGGAAGCACAGGACAGGCAGGCATATTTCTAGTAGAAAAAATTTCAGATTTTTGGCCTATATGTCAAATTGAAATTCAAGGAAAGAAATTTAAGGGTCTTATAGATACAGGAGCTGATGTTTCTCTTATCAGTTCTCAACAATGGCCAAAGAATTGGGAATTACAAGATTCAAATACTAATATTGGAGGAATAGGAAGAGCCTCAGGCTTAAGTCAAAGTGTTCAAATTCTTCCTTGTAAAGGACCGGAGGGACAACAGGGATTTTTACAACTTTATGTTGCTGACATTCCTATCAATTTATGGGGTAGAGATTTACTAACTCAATGGGACGCAGAACTTTGGATCCCTCCGAAGCAATATAGTCCCCAAAGTAAAAAAATCATGAGTCAGATGGGATTTCAACCTGGAAAAGGGTTAGGAAATTTAATCAGGGCATTACTCAGCCTATCCAACTCTCATCTCAACAGGGAAAACAAGGATTAGGTTATCAGACCAATCAAAATAACCCTTTTATGTAGGGGCCACTGTTGAAGAGCTAC